TAATGGATACTTGGATTTTATTCCAGTTGTTTTTCTCTTACAAAAAATGCTGCCTTCAGCAACCATACAAAATGATCTTATAATTCTTTTACAAGCATGTCTACAGGAAAATCCAAGCAGCAGACTAACCAGGTCACAGACATTTGCATTTTTATTGATTAAAGTGTCTACTGTGTCCTGGCACACAGTAGGCACTCAATCAATACTTTAAAAATAAAACTTAAATGGTCATATTGTTCATCAGAAAGATTGTGTTGCTTTATATTCCATATCAAAGACTTAAAATCATTGTAGTTAGTAGTATGGTGATTGCAGAGAAGATACGTGTATGTTCTACTGCTTAGAACCTGTGAAGATAGTCATATTTTAAGAAAGTCTTTCCAGATACTATGAAGTGAAGGACCTTGAGGTGAGGAGATCATGCTCAGTGATCTGGGTGGGCCCTGTATACAATAACAAACATCCCTCTAAGACTGAGGCAGAGGAAAATGTATGCAAGCCCTGGAGGAGAGAGCTGTGTGAAGGCAGAGGCAGCCCCTGGGAAGGTACAGCTGCCTGCCCGGAATGCCAGGGCAGGAGATAAGGAATGTGTTCTCCACTGCCTCCAGAGGTAGTGTGGCCCTGCCAAGGTTTTGATTTTAGAATTCTAGCTTTTAGAACTGTGAGATAATTTCTGCTGTTTTAAGCCACTAAGTATACAGTCATTTGCTATGGCAAGCTCAGGAAACTAATACAATCATTATTAAATTGGAGCTTATTGGTAAAGTAGAAAAGAGCACCTAGAGTTTGAAGGCAAATTGATTAGGATCCAGTAGAGGGGTCAAATGCCTGCCCCTGCGAGCAGCCCTCTTTAGCTGCCTCAGGAATAATCCCTCTGTTGTCTCCACCTCATGCATTCTTTCTAGGCCATGTCTGAGACTGAGACCCAAAACAAGTACACAGAAGAAGGCAAACACCAACTTACCAAATTTTTTGGTTTTGATGCAGGCAGATTCAATACTAATCAACCCAATACAGGCTTTGAAAAGGAATTTTATAGTTTTTTTTTTACCTTAAAAGCTCAGGGGTGGCAAATGGAGACTCACATATCTACATCCATCTAATCATAATCAATCCACCGAGAGCCTTGCTGGAGAGGGGAGAGCATTTTCCTTGACAATCTTCGGTCTCTTCCCTGGCAAAGGATTATCATGCCATCCAGATAGAGGCAGTATATTCCTTTCACAGAAGTTGTGAGGCTAATTACCAACGAATCCCAACATAGATTGGCTTAGAACCGTGAGAGACCCTCTCCATATTCCAAGCCACTGCTCTCTCATTGGCTAATTTTGACTAATGAAACGAATCCTATTTTACACATAAATAGTGCTTACAGTTTAAAAAGGGCTGCCGCCTGTAGAATCTCAATTGTTTTATGTTGTTTCTCACAACAAAAATATGAGAAAAATGGGGCAGGAATGATCGTATTCATTTTCTAGAAGCAAACTCTACTTCAGAGAGGCTATACGACTTGTCCAGGCCGCAGACTTCAAATCCACCAATATTCATGCCATGATGCCTCCTGAAGGTCCACCCATCTGAGCTACACATAAATAAAAAATGAGCTGGTTTATTTGCAGATACTCTCTTGAGGGGAGGGGAGATGTACCTAGACTGAAAGGGAATCGTCTGTGTGTACGTGGGCAAAAGGGATAAATATCAAGACATTTCTGATCATCCAAACCCCGATCTCCTCTAATTCAAATATTAGTTCATTGCTCTTGTTATGTTTTACTTTGAATAAGTTTCACTAAAATATATCCCAAGTTGAGCTCTATTTTGGGTTAAATGTGTATTTAGCCCCTAGCATCAACAACCCTCTGGTCTCCTGCTATGGAGTGCCTTCTGATATACAAGGGAGCTCATCAGAAAGCTTATATGTATTTTAAAACTTGTTTGTCAGAACATAGCTCTCAAAAGACTGGCCCCCAACATTTCCTTGGTAAGTTATTAATAAGTGAGGTTTTCAGGTAGTCATTTGCCATAGTCCTATAAAAAGAAAATTAAAAGCAAGATCAATTGTGCTTTTTAAAAATGATGAAAAAAATCCTGCATTTTTTATGACTACCAGAAACCAGAAAAGTTCTTTGCTAAGGATAATTCTCATTTCTTCCATGGGTCATAGGAGTAATAAGCAATTTGAATTAAAGGCAAGAGATCTAAATTCGTATCTTCAAATTCCTTTATTCACCAAATATATGTGGAGCCTTCACTATGTGCCAAGCATGTGCTGGGGCTATAGCAAAAAAAAGTCTCCTGTCATAACAAACATACTTTCTACTGGGCAAAGTCAGATAGTGAACATACATCAATTTAGTCTCTAGTTTTTAGCAAAACATATTCAAATATTGAAGGCTGATCACTCTTGCTGCCCTCACCCAGACATCCTGAACTGGAAGATTACAGAAAGTGATAAACACAAGCAAAGCAGCTGGTCTCACATCTATAATTTAATTTAGGTAGCCAAGTAATAATTGCCTGCGACATATACAAAAAAGCAATCATTTCGAGACATAGAAAAATGCTATCCTTGCATAGGAATCTTTAAGAATGTAGACTCCTCAGAAGGATGGGCCTCTGAGACAGAGCATATGTGTGCCAAGGACCCGTACTGATGCCAGGGGGGCTTCTTCCACTTCCTTGCTCCTGTTCTGCTGTTATATTTATACACATTCCCAGAGACTGTGGGGCAGGAGAACACAGAACACAGAGAAAGTGAATTATAATGAACTCGCAAAGCATTTGTTCATTCCACAAAGTGTATGCTGAGCATTTGAGGTATAGCCAGCACACTGACCAGTTGCTTGTCTTCTCAGGTCTTGCTGTTTGTTACCAAAGGAAAAACTAGAAGCAAAATGTGAAGCGGCACATGTCACATGCATTAAAATATCTCTTTGGGGGAAACTAGGTGATGAGTACACAGTATCTCTCAGTATAATATAATTTTTCCAATTTCTTGTGAGTCTGTAATCATTTTTGAATCAAAAGTTTTTTTAAAAAGTCAGAATTAAAAATAAAATTGTCCCTAAAGTGATATACTCACACAATACTGAGGTTTAATCAGCCATCCCTTCATAGAAACAATAGTGAAATAAAAGTAATAAATAAGAGAAAGAAACAGGGTACATACAGCCCAATATAGTAGGAAGTCAACCAATTGTTATTTCTTAAGTGATGAGGATGTAATTAATAAATAAAAATAGTCATAACAATAACAGATGACTGCTATAATGTTTACTACTTATCAGACTCCATTTTCATAAATTAATTGGTTTAATCCACTCACCATCCTTGTGAGATACAAACATACTATGGCTCATGTATTTAAGATGACAAAGTTGGGGCACACCAATTTAAGTGAACTTAACAATTCCACACCATTTGTAAGAGGCAGACCTAGATTTGAACTCAGGGAGTCCAGTTGCAGAGCTCTAAACACTAACAACCTAGGGTAGGGGGCCAAACCTTCTTTTACCTTTTTAGTCTCAATGAATAAAATAATGCCTTATCTATCACATTCTGGGTTCCACAGGACATTTGACAAGTGATGGTATGTACCAACACATAGAGCCAAACATTTTTATTTAAAAATATTTCTCTTCTCAAAGAATCATGTGACACTTCAATGTGCCAACTCAGCTGTCAAATTTCTATGAACCGAAAGGTGATTTTCTGCCAGGGCAACAGTGGTAGTGGACAATGCACTGCCCTGACAAGCGCCTCCCTCTGCCAAAACAGTCTATACCATCTCTCAATAGTGCTTGATGGAACTTGAAAACTAATTGCTGAGTCGTACATCAAACATCCAGGTTCAGAGTAAGCCAAATGCATGGGTCTAAACACACAATAATCATGTCCTCGGTACTGAGAAGACCAAAGGCGATGAGTATGAGTCACACACTGAATGGGCAAAAAGTGATCACCAGAGCTTGTTGTCTTTCGTAGACTATGTAAACTTGTTTTATTTTGTAGGATGGAGCAGTCTAGGGCCCAGTGTTTGCTAATACACTGGTTTTTACCAGGCCATTGGCAGGAGAGGCGTGGCAGGGAAGTCATGACCAGCATAAGCGTGAAGGTTCCTGTGTTAGACTGCTGGGCTTTTTATCCTAACTTCCCTCTCACCACACTATGATTCCGGAGAAGTCACCTTGTCTCTCTGTGCCTTGGTGGTCTCATTTGTAAAACGGAGAATAATAACAGTCATTGGCTCATAAATAGTTATGAGAATGAACGATTCTTGTGGAAGCATTTTGACCATAATAACAATTCACTGTTTTCTATGATTTGATATTAGAAATGCCCCACTAACACCTTGTAATATGTCCACAACTACATAGTTAAATATAAAGTCTTTCATTTTTCCAGGAATAATGTTAAAATTAAATAGGTTACATTGCAGCATCAGTAACCAAAATGTGGATGCAATCTACATGACCATCAATGGATGAATGGATGAACAAAATGTGGTATAAACACACAACAATGTTTTATTTAGTTTTAAAAAGGAAGGAAATTCCAACACATGGTACAACATGGATGAAAGTTGGCAATGCTATGCTTAATAATAAAGCATCCACAAAAGGACATAGGAAGTACCTAGAGTAGTCAAATTCATAAAGACAGAAAGTAGAATGGTGGTTGCCAGGGGCAGGGAGGAGAAGGAAATGGGAAGTCAGTGTTTAATGAGTATGGAGTTTCAGTTGGAAAAGATTAAACAGTTCTGAAGGTGGATGGTGGTGACATTTGCATGACAGTGTGAGTATACCTCATGCCATAGAACTGTACACTTAAAAATAGCTAAAATGGTTCTCTCTTTGAATCTGGGTAGATTCTGACTTCTTTAACCAATAGAATGTGGTAGAGTGACACTGTACCTGTTTCTGGGCCCAGGGCTGAGAAAACTGGCAACTTCATCTTACTATCCTCTCTGGGTGATCTAAACTGACAAGCGGGACACCCAGTTAACCCCGCTGGAGAGATCCCATGAAGAGGTAGTGGGCCCCACCTGAGCCCAACCATGTAACTGTTCCCACCAAGTAGTCAGGCATGTGAGTGAAGTCACTTTGGACCCGCCGAAGCAGACCAGCGGCCAGCTGGACACCGCTGAAGTGACTTTCAATATTATAAAGCGAAGGAATTGCCCAAGTGACACCAAACACAAACTCTTCACACGCAAAATCGTGACATATAGTAAAACAGTTGTTCTAAGTCAGTGAGTTTTGGGGTAGTTTGTTACACAACAGTATATAATCAGGGAGGAAAATTGTGTTTTATTTGATGTGCACAATGGAGTTTGCTTTAATTGAATGAATTACCTACTAATGCCTATTACTGTCATTTAGAAATGGGCAGATTTCATGTAACCATTTGGATTTCCAACTTCTTTTTAAGCATCAGAATTCTGGTAACTCCAAGCCTAGTCCCAGTGAGCTGAGTAACAGCATGTCCCCCAAGCATCATTTGATATTGATGATTGAATGTACTGACTTATATGGCCCAGTTCAGCCATTTATTTTACCTGCCTGGCCCTTGAAAGGTTTGTTTTAGGACAGAGTCTTATTAGACAAAGCAAAATGAATAAGTAATTCATTCATGTTTTAGCATCTAAATTGGCAAAATGAGCTTATTCAAAAGATGTTTAAGTACCATACCTGGATCAATGGCTTCTCCATCAAACATGGTCTCATACACAATGGTTTCCTTTCAAAAAGTACAAAATGTTAGCAATAAAATCAGCTTGAAAAAATCAGTTTTGATGTGTGTTGAGCACTTTGATTGGATGACATCTTATAAATTACTTCGTCTTTCTAGTGTATTGAGAACTGGCAACCTAGGGTACAAACGCTTTCTGCTGTTATTTCTCCTCTCTGCCCCAGCCCCCACATCAGTCTGCCTACCATGCCCTCTGTCACCTCAGATCTTTTTATTGATGAGAAGTCTCTTATCCTGGATGGAAGATGTTACAAGCTGAGCTGTGTCCCCCTAAATTCCTATGTTGAAGCTCTAACCCCCATTACCACAGAATGTGACTGTATTTAGAGGTAGGGTCTTCAAAGAGATGATTAAGGTAAAATGAGGTCTTATGAGTGGCCTTAATCTAGCATGACTGGTGTCTTTATAAGAATGAGAGATTAGGGTACAGACACACAGATGAGGGATGGCCACGTGGGGACACGGGGAAGGCAGTCATTAGCAAGCCAAGGAGAGCAAGCTCAGAAGACACCAACCCTGCCCACACCTTCATCTTGGACTTCTAACCACCACAACTGGGAGAAAAGAAATTTCTGTTGTCTAATTCACCGTCTGTGCTATTTGTTACGGCAGCCCAAGCTAACTACTACAGGAGGTCAGCTGGCATCATCTTCCTAAAGGAAGAGGCAGGGGTAGGGAGCCCTGGAAGAGAGCCAGCTCATGAAGCAATGTCATTGTCAGTCAGGACCCAGAGAGGAATGTCCTAGGTAAATGGGTCAGCAGGTAGAGAGGAGAAAGGAGAGATGAAGGCTGAAAATGCCCTTTCTGGTCCCAGTCCACGTTTATGCTTCATGGAACCAGCCTGACCCTCAGTTGTTCAGCTGGATCACTTAATGAATGGGTCTCAACCGATTTCAAGATGGTTTCCACGATTCACGGGGTAGACTTTACCAGCTACTAAGAAACTCCAGGGCTGAAGAGCTTCTTCAGCTCTAGCACAAACATAATCCATTTTGAAATCCAGCTCTTATTTTTAAGTAATGGTGAATAATGCTGTACTTCCATGTCTCTAGAGTTGTTTTTGCTGAATATGCATAATGTTTGAGGCAAATTTTGACCCAAACCCAATTCTAAGACTGGATCTGAAATCCCAGTTTTGTAATACACAGAAATTCACCAGAAGCTGATAACTTGAAATTAAATATTTTTTCTTTCTATGATGGCTGAGTAGATTCACTGTATGTTTATGTGAACTTTTCATTCAGCAATAATTACAGAGAAAATGGAGTCCTCTTCTACTGTAGAAGGATCACAAAAATGTACTTACCGTTAGTACTTCTAGTTTTTTATTTATGTTTTCAGTGACAATCTTCTCCTTTTGATTTCTAGCTCCTACCCAAAAAAAATAAACAAAAGGCAGGTATTAATGAGTGGCTTTTTAAAATTACACAATTCATAATGATCATGTGATGATTAGTAATCTGTATCTTACCTGCACTGTACTTTATTCCTCTGTATAAAAAGAAAATTTGAGAAAATATCAGCTTCTTTATGCTAATACAAGGCAAAAAAAGAATTCGAATTTTTTGTAGCACATGACTGCAATCACATCTCTCCCACTTTCAATTTAAAAAAAAATGCTGTCTGGGGAATAATAAACTGGTCTCATTAACTATCACCACCCCCCTCACTGAATCATAACTTCTCTCTGCTTAGTTAATAAAAATTCACATCCAACTCTGTTCTTGAAGCCATGATATTCTGAACTCTGAAGAATTATTTTTGGGTAGCAGTGAAGGGAGCTGTATTTTCTATCTGCACTTCTGCGTTTCTTTGACCTTTCTGCATAGCTTCACATAGATTTAAAACAAGTCTGGGAAGCGAACCTGGATTTGTTACCTGTCTCTAGGGTGGTTCCTGGTAGTTGTCAGATACCTGCCCATGAACTGCTTGCATCAAAATAAAATGGGGAGTTGTTTGGCTTAGCTGCTCACAAATTGATTTGTTTAAAATATTTCCTCACAGAAAATCTATTTCAGGTGTTCTAAGGTAGAACCCAAGAATATGTTGTTGCTATTTTTAAAGAAATTTCTCCAGCTGTTTCTGAGATAGAGTAGATTTGGAGCAATGGTGAACGGGACCCTTGAGTTTTGTATTCCAAGTACTTTCCTCTGTGCCTCTCATAAGGAAGAAGGTCTCAGAGTATGAACACCGAACCCCAGCTATTTCAACTCTTTTTATATTAGAAACTTAGAAAGAAAAATGACATACGAGGGCTTGAGCTTGGAGGCTTCCATGACCGTTTTATGACAGCATTCCACAGCATTTCCATATTTCCAAAACAGGAAACATACCCAGGAAACCAGCCCGGCAAAGAAAACAGCCATCAGTGTGAAGATGAAAGGGATGTACCAGTCACTGGATTTGTATGTGTTGATAGCTGTGTATACAATGGTCAGACCTTTTCTTTGCTGGGAAATATTAGTTCAGAGCAAACAGAACATTAGTTTATGTTGTCAGAGAGCATCTGTCTACACATAGTAGCATCTCTATAGAGCTGGAGTCCTGTACACACAGTGGGGTATTGACTCATGATATATGGATGTTTTAAAACCCCATGGGTGACACTGAAGAACACCTGAGCCTAGAGAAGCCACCAATTTAAGGATCTGAAGACTTCAGCTGTATGCAGTCACTGCTCTGCAGACTCAAACAAAACCATTTTTTCTCTTTGACCTGAGTTTTCTCATCTGTAAAATTGAGGGGTTTTACTAGATGGTGTCTGAGGTTCTTTTAGGCTTGGATGCCTCTATTATCTACTCTACACAGGATAAGCCCTTTTCTGCAGCTTGAGAGAACAGTGTGTTCTTGAAAATCAAATATTCTGATGGAGAGATTTATCATCCATGTTGTAAAAATTATACTTCTATTTCAAAGGATAGAAGACAATAAAATACACTAACCATAAAGTCTACTGAACAGATCGTATCTTTGTTACTCAGAAGCCATTCTGTAGTTCTAGAGAGGCTTTGCATATCTGTTGTCGAAATTATGAAATACTAAAAGGTCTGCTAAACTTCATAGGATTCTACCAAAGATGATGAAATGACGAGTAAAAGCCATGTAGTACAGTGCCTGGCACATGGTAGGTGCCCATTACTGTGAACAACTTGATCACTAGACAATAATGTTTGAAAGTACCCACTTGTACAGATTTTTAGTTGTTAGAATTCATTGATTCATGGACCTTTCTGGTGGGCAGGACTTGAGGACATTCAGACATCACTTGTTCCTGGGGGTCCTCTATCCCCCACCTGCAATTATCACACATTCTCTCACCCATGGAGTCTGTACTCACAGATGCACACTATAAAACGTAGCCTGGTGGTTGGAAGGGGTAGTGCCCACAGGGAAAGGAAAACAGGTGAAGGTGCCACCCTGAGTAGCATTTTAGACTTTCTGGGTGAAACTTGAATTGACAAGAGAATATTTCCCACACACACAACCAAATTAAATTCCATAGCTCTTTACTTCAGAACTGGTAGTTGGAGGAAGTGGCGTATTGGCCCTTGTCACGTAAATATCTATGATGGCAGTGCCCGTCCTGGGCTTCGTGGCTTTGCCGTATTTCAGATTGTCATCGATGATGTGCACCAAAAGATGGTAGTGCCGCTTCAGTTCAGCTCCAGATTCAAAGTTAAAAGGGTTCTTCACAATTAATTTTGGAGTATTTGAACCTCTAGTTGGGTCAAATCCAAAATGATGGTTCTCATTTCCTTTAAAAGGAGTAATTCAAAAATTATAATTATTTTAAGATATGTTAAAAGGTTTTATCAAGCTACGTTACATTGCTTTTGAAACACAGTAGGAATGAACTAATAATATTTCTATTGTTCTCTAAATTCCTATATCTATAATAAAATTGAAATCATGTAAGCAATACATTTAGTTGGTTAAGACAAAAGTGTTTTAAAGGTTAATATCATGGGTCTGATCCCCGTATGTGATCAACAAGCTTCACACTATTTTCAAGTTATTCTGCCAAATTACTTCCCCTTCCTTCATCTCAGCAATTTTATTTGTACCTTCAGCTTGGTCTAGATCAATATCAAATGGGCCAGTAAGACCACAAACATCAATTGAGCTTCTACTAAGCTTAATGTCAAGTTTCAGTGGCCCTGGAGACACCATTGTAAACAAGTTGCTCATAGAACACATCTTCATGAAGCTTATTATCTAGCAAGAGAAGCAGATATTGAACCAGTCTTTATAATTAATTAGTAATGTGTTTGGTAATGCTTATGATTCCATCCTTTCAGATACATGACAGCAGGTCTGACCTCCAAAGTTTAAGGTACTTCTCTTTGTTATAAAACTCATGATATCCAGAAATTTTCCTTTATAGAACTTGTTACACATTATAACTTTACAGTTAGTGATCTTACTGATAGTTTAATGAATGGGGGCTTCTGTCACTATAAGACCCATATCTGTCTTGTGCATTACTGTGTACCCATCTCCTAGGATGTATTTGGTCTCCAATAAGTTTCTTACATATACTGTAAGATGATGACTAAAGTTGATATGAGTCTGTGTGAATCCAACAGTATTGCAGTTGAAATATCTATGCCAGTGAATTTGTATTAGCATCATATGGAAAGGTGGCTAGTTCCACAAACAGCAGACTTAGTTCCTTGTAACTTAACCTTCAATATTTACATACGGGTCCAAAGATTCTTCATTGTCTGATATCATTGAAATCACCACTAGGTCCACTATAGGAGGAATAGATTGGACATAATGGAAGTGAAGAGGGTTCTATGAGAAACCTAATGCCATAGATATGAAATTAACCTTTATAAATGTCATTATTTCTAAGGTTATATCATGTCAAAGAGGGTATAACTAATACCAATTTGACACACGAGGATAATCAAATGAAATGATAAAATTGCCCACCAGAAACCATCTCAAAGCGCATTTCATAATCTTGTGAATCTCTGTCGTGACAGTTTAGTTTAAAGCCATTGATGTTTGTCCCAGCAACAACATTGTCAAGAATGACTGTCTTATACAGAGAGGGTGTACAGACAGGAGCTTCATCATTCTCATCTTTGATGTCAACAGTGACCTGTCAGCAATGAGAGAGGAAGAAACATTACATCCATGTCATGTGACTCTTTATACACAAAATCAGAAATAAGCAACTAGATGGAGACAGCTCATTTAGAATTACTAAATAAAAAGTCTGGAATTTTGAGTTTGAAGAAATGTTCCTGCAGATTTTGCTTCTGGCTGTCAATCAACTAGTCAGCTGGCTTATTATTCCTGGGTCAACTATGACTTTCGGTGTCACCATTAAATGGGGAGACCTTTGGACTCATTAGATGAATCATGCAATGCTAAGAAATTACATGAATGATAAGAAAAGAAAAGCTGAAGAATGATGCCTCTAAAAGTTGCTATCCCTTGAACCTGTTAAGTATCCGCGCTTAATAGCAAACATCCCGAGTTTGCTTTCTCTTTCATATCTTATGGGCCTTCTCTGCATCATTCTCCCAAGCACAATACATATTTTAGTAGCAATATGATTACTTCAAAGTATGCTCTGATCTTAGTTAAAGGATGTGATCAACCTTTTCTTAGTGAAAATACCATAAACCAGGAAACTGTTGTTTACATGGAAAAAGATAAAATATCAAGGAGTTTTAAATGTCAGTGACTGAATGACAGGCAGCTTAGAAAGGTTATGTGCCCACCTCTTAGATGAGTAACAACTTTCTCAATAACATTTGCAGAAGAACCCTGGTGTATTCCTGTTTGCAAGTATTACCTTTTAGAAATGTTTTCTGTGATGTTTTAACAACAGAGCTAAATTCTTGGGGAATAATTCATTCTTTAACTCAACTTCTATAGATTGAATAGTACTACATGTTCTGTTTAATATGTGAGGCATTTTCATATGATTTTAGGGAGACTGTGTGACATATGGAAACAACACAGGAGTTGGAATCAAAAATCTTTATTAAAACCTGGGCCTTCCAGTTACCAGATCCTTTATTTGGTACAAGTGATTTAATCTTGCTTCACTCATATCTTAAAAAGGAAATCTCAATCCCTCCCTTCCTAGGATTGTTAGGGAGAAAAATTCATCCATTCAGGGAATATTTATTTAACATTGACTATATGTTAAGCCTTAGCCTAGACACAGAAGATAAAGTGACAAAATGAAGTCCCTGCCTTATTGCGATTTATATTCTAAAGAGAGGAGGCAAAGTAATAAACAAATCAACAAATAAATATGTTAGGCAATGTCATGTGGAAATTGGTGCTCTGCAGGTTAAGGAGATGAAGATAGCTGATGAATTATCTTAATAGAGTATTCAGACAAGGCCTTTCTTTTTTGACTCATTCTCCTACCTCCTTCACTGTCCCCACTTCTCCCATATTTGATACATGTCCTTAAGTTTGTATTCTCATTCAATATGTAGTGTTTGGTCAAAATAATAGATTTTTGATTTGCATAAATGATAATGTGCTATAGATCTTTCCTGTTTCCTGCTTTTCTCACACCATACCATGTTTTCTTGCTTTTTCCATGTTTCTATTTGTAGAGCTAGTTTTTCATTTCTTGATTCTTAGTATTCCATCATAGGCATCCACTGTATTATACTTATTCATTCTCTTAGTGATGAGCACATTGCTTCAAAATCCCACCACAACACACAGCAGAAAAGATTTTTGTGAGCAGGTTTCCTTTGGGCAGACGCCTGATTAAAGTGAGAGTATAAGTCACGTGACTACCCAGAGGACAAACATGACAGCCTTGGTCTAAGGCTCTGAGGTGCAAACATTTTTGGTGTGTTTGCAAGTTTGTGTGACTGGATTGAAATAAGAAGGAGAGAGCTAGGAGCTGAATTCACACAAAGAGGTAGGCAGGGACCAGATCATACAGGGCACTGCTGACCTTAGAAATGACACTGGAACTTCTGCTAAGCATGATGGGAAGCCGTTGGAGAGCTTTGAGGAAGAAGGTGACTTGTCTCTTTAAAGGATCACTATGGCTACTATGTGAAGAGTAGATTCTAAAGGGCAGAGGTGGAAGTGGAGATTCTAGGTAGGAGGATGGTGTTAGCTCTGGATGGGTGAGAAGCAGAAACAGTCAGGATATATTTGAAATTGTGTAGAGACAACAGGATTTACTAATGGATTAGAGAAATAATTTAGGACACGTGGTGGTGATTAAGTGCCCAGAATTAATCCTTCTACCACTTCTAGCTGGGTAAACTTGGATAAACTGCTTAACTCTAAGCCTTGAAAATGAAATGTAAGAAGGGTTATTAATAACTACCTCATGGGATTGAAGACTAAATGAGATTCCATAGTACTTGACCTTTTTTAGGATCTCAGTAAAGGGCTGATGATGATCATGTGGTGATGACAATGATGATGGATTCCTAAACTTTGGAGTCTAAAGAATTATCTCCTTTTCCCTTTTCCACACTTGGAAGTCTCATTTATCAATATCACCAATCACCAATTTACTTGCTATATACTGTTCTCATATGTTAAACATTTTGAGCCCCCTGTAGGCATATACAGTGTCTTACATTTCTTTGTAAGCCAGGATGCTCCACACAGAGTAAACACTCACTGAATATTTGTTAAAAGAAAGAGGGAATGAATAAGTTCCTGCTTTCTTTTTCTTTTTCTTTTTCTTTATCTTTAGGTAAATCACAAATTCTTTTTGTAAAAACAGAGTCACCTGAAGTTGTTTTTTTACTTCTCTGCTTTTCCTTCTTCTCATTTGTAATAAGTGAATGAAACGCTACCACAGGTACCTGGGTATAAACATCGCTGTCACAGATCTTCCTGAGACAGCTAAACCGCATCATCCTGTCCACATGACTGGAGTTCAGTCCCTGTGACAGTCATTCTAACTGTTGATGTGAATAGGCCTGATATTTTCCTCAAAATGACTCAGGAAACCTTATCAACACATAATGAGCAAGCCAGAGGACTCTGTTGAGTAAAAGGAAATGTACAGTGATTCATCAGGTGGGACGGGGACCTTAAGAATCACAAATCCTACTTCTGTCTCTTCTACAGCGACAAAACCTTATAGTCATTAGTAACACATACCACATCATCAATACAGCAGCATTCACTCTTGCTGTCTTTCAAGTCCTTGGTTTTGCTAACACATAATTTAGAGGCTCACACTTTCCTTCATTATGATGCCAAAAGAATGTACCTTGATTAACAACCTTCATTGTAAACATCACCTCTTGATAAGAGGTAGCCAGAGGTTGAGTGCAGTTCTACAAACCCTGAGTACTTCAAGCAAGTATCCTAAACTCTGTGCCTGAGTTTCTTCATCTGTAGAGTAGAAATGATGATAATATCACCACCTTGAAGATGTAAGGTGAAAATTAACTACATCAAAATATAAAAGGTACACAGAACAGGAAATGACACAGTGACAAATAGTGGACCACTTCTCATTGAGCATTTCAGTTGTGGTGACTTAGAACTTAATAGATTACCCCTATTCTATCAAAACCTGGGGGCTCTCTCCTTACCGTGGTCACTGCTGTGCGAGGATGAAATTTGTCACAATCCACACCTTCCACAATGAGGTTATATTGCTTCACAGTTTCATAGTCTGGCTGTGTGGTGAGTTCAATCATTCCAGAGAGAGGGTGAATCCAGAACCTTTGTACAGTTTGGATGTCTCCACTGGCTATTCTGTATGTCACACAGTCTAATGGCTGGTCTTCATCAATGGCAGTCACTCTTCCAACTTTGTAGAAAGCTGCCAATAACATTTATTGAGGTTCATTCTTGTCATGTAGAAATACTACTTTCAAAAGCTTAGCATGTCTTTGCCTTCCAAATAGTTTCATGGTTTCTCAAAGGGTCAGTCTGAAACCTTTTGGGCAATGAAATGTTAGTTTGAAAAGCTAAACTCTGCATGATGTAGGGCAGATTTGTAGATTGTCCTCTTCTACTGTAAACCACATGGCATGAGTCAAATGATACAGTTAACATGACTTTGTAATGATGATGATTAGCTTACATGTGTTGCATGCTTATCTTCTACCAGGTATTTTGCTAAGATTAGCATCAGATAATGGCTCACAGCACAGATTCTGGAACCAGACTGCCTTGGTTCTGAATCTTGGCTCTGCCACTTATTAACTGTAATTCATTGGAAAATTCTATAACCTCTGTGGGCCTCAGGTTCTTTATCTACACACTAGGAATGATAACTTTATCATACAGAGTTGTAAGGATTATATGAGTTAAAATATATAAATCACATAGAAAAATGCTTGATATATAGTAAATGCAATATAAGAATTAGCTATTTTTTTATACACATCATCCCAGTGAACCTTCTCAGCAGCCTTATGGTATATGTGTTATTAATATACTCATTTTACAGACAAGCAAACTGCAGTTCAGTGGTGTTAAGTAACGTACCCAAGGTCACAAAGCTAGGAATGGTACAGCCAAAATTCATATCTGTGTCTGCTGAATCTACAGCCCACATTTAAAAAATCACTTTGCTATAATTCCAGTGTGTAGTTCCCCAAAATAATCTTTTAGAAGAAAGATGGATGTGGTCGATTGATTACAAATCCAGAATATGAAAGCCCAACTTTTTGCTTGTGTAAAAGCATCATTATTAAGAGAAAGTTATCACAACTGATAGAAGACCTCAGAAAACAGATGGTAAACTCACCACGTTCATAAATTCCTGGACAAAGATGGTGCATTTTCACACTTAATACCTGGTGAAGTATAATGGGAAGCTTATTCTTCTGTAGGTATAACATTAAACTTTTTATAAAACTAAAAGCTATTTTGATCATCTTTAGCTAAGTTTAAAATAGAGTACTTACAATACTCTGTAACTCTGCCATATTTTTCCATCAAAAACTATTGGAAATGAAACATGTTTTCCCTTGTAATTTGTAATCCAGGATGATTTAATTTTCTTAAGTGTTATTGTAAATTATTTCTGATAAAGGAATTTTTTTGCCTATGCCTACCTCCCTCCAGAGCCTTTTTGTCAATGAAAAATTCAGCTACTTATTATATACCATCTGAAGTTTTTTGTTTTGTTTTGTTTTACTTTAAAGCTTATAGATTACCATATAGATTAGCATAATTTTGTTAGGATAAAAAACTCATATAGTCCTCAAGGCACACACATATCCTCTGTGCTAATCAGCACAATGTGAAAAAGATTTCCACTTCAGTGAATTTTTTAATGTCCTCAAAGTCTGTAAGCTAAATGTTTGGTATTCTGAGGAAAGTTTGTTTTCAGAGTAGTTTTAACTTCCAATTTCCTCCTCTAAAGCAAATTGGCAGTGAACTGTGAAGATTTTTGTCTCCTCTGATTTGTATTTCTCAAAACACCAACCATCCCCTAATTTAATTTAGTTTATGTACTGTCGTAGGGAAGATCAAGGGATGACTTAAAAGAAAAAAGACAAGGTAAAAGTTCTGGCACATTGTAGACATTCAATAAGTGTTAGTTGTGGTTATTACTATTATTATTGGCATTGCTGTTGTTGCTACTATAAGTTTGCATACAGACAATTATCAGTTTATCCCTATTTCATATACCATAAATATGGTAATCTCCATTCTACAGATAAGAACTCAAAGACACCTGGAAGTTATGTGACCTACTTAAGGTCATTTGACTGATTAACACTGGCAGAGACAGAATTTGAGTAATGGCTCCAATACTCATATATTTTCTGTTTTATCATGTTGTTCCTTTATGAAGACCTAAAAGTCTTCTCCCTGGTACAGCAGGTCAGTAGCCACTTATTTGGAGAACAGTACATATAGGAACGACCCATGTATCTCTTTGTATGAATTCTCAGAAGTTGTTTTCAGAATTTTGGTGACCTCAGTCCTCAAAACCCATCCAAAAAAATGCAGCCTGGAATACTCAGCAGAGAACTGGACCAGGAATTTGGAGTCTGCATTTAGCCATCATCTTTGCCACTCACTAGTTATGTGTCCTAATTCTCTTGCCAGCCCCAATTTCCTCTAAGTAAAATGAAGAGGTTGAATGTTTTTAACTCAGATCAACAGTACTGTAATAAAAAATTCTAAATCCTTCTTCTTAGCTATCAAGAAGGTAGTAAATTATGCTTAACAAAACATAGATGTTTTCAATACATTTAGAGAGTTTCACCTTCAGAACATAAAATTACATTTCAGGGCAACTTTGGACAGTTGGAAAAGAAACCAACATAAAACACTTGATTCCCGTAAAACACTGTTTTTAAAAATGCCGGACTCAAGAGGTAAAGCTAAAGAGATGGTAAAAAGTTCAGGGATTTCCAGAGGCTGGGGGTAGGGGGAAAGGGATGAATAGGTAAAGTACAGAAGACTTTTAGGGCATTGAAACTGTTCTGTATAATATCATAATGGTGGATACATATCATTATACATTTGTCCAAACTTGTAGAATGTATACTACCAAGAGTGAGCCCAAAGTAAGCTATGGGCTTTGGGTAATAATGGTATGTTAGTGTAGGTTTATCAGTTGTAATAAATGTATCACTCTGGTGAGAGTAGCTGATAGTGGAGGAAGCAATACATGTGTGAGGTCAGAGGGTGTATGGGAGATCTCTGTACCTTCTGTTCAGTTTTGTTGTAAGCCTAAAACTGCTCCAAAAAAAAAGTCTTTATTTTAAAATGGCAGTTTCTTATTTTTAAATCTAGACTGGTTGTTAACTTTGGAGTGTCACTGAATCCCTTTGATAATCTAATAAAAAGCTATGGGTCTTCCCTGCAAGGACCCTTGAAGCCAGTGGTCAGACACTTTGCTCCAGATTTACAATTTATAAGCAAAGAGATAACGAGAAAGTTGTGAACTATTTAACTTCTGCATAAAGACTCATTATAGTGCCCCTTTAACTCTAGAACCCCCTGGAGCTGGACGGCCACCTCAGAACTAAGAGAACACCAAGGGAGGAAAGAAGTTACTGTAATGAGGTTCTATGAACAAAAGATTACTCAGAAATCAGTATTAGTCCTACTGAAATGATAACAAAAAGTCAATAGGGGAAAAACTAGGATCCTGTGTACAGTTATTCGGTTTATATGCAACTTTTCTGGAAAGTTGGTCATATATTGTAAGATTCGATTGTGTTATGTTCCATAAGTAGGATATAAATAGGTGTGCATTTAGTTTACTGAAAGGTTAAGAACTTGTCCAAAACTGCATGATGAGGCAAATGAAGAACTGAAGTTCAAATGCATGGGTTTATTATTTCCTAATCTCTCCTCAGAACTGTTGTCTAATGAGTATAGTTGTCTGCCAAGGAAATAAGCTGGTTCAGAGTAGTGCGGGATGCACCAAGTGATGTGCTGGCAAATGTTTGACAGCTATCTGGGGAATAAAAAAAGTGTGTATTTGTGTGTGTGTATTATTAAATGTGTGTGAATATATAGCCACATAAATACCTAAGCTTACTATAAATTTTACTGATATAAAAGATGTATAGCATAACATTTACAAATAATGATGAAATATACAATACTCTTTATTGTGAATTCCCAGAGAGATGATTCATTCTCGCAAATTGCTTCCATTGATTTTTGTCAAACTCTCCGATCCATAAACCTAGTATGATGGCAATTGACAAATGAGGGTAGTTCCAATATGAATGTTGGTTGATGTTTTCCTTTATGTTAAAGAGTAAGATGAAAGTGAAACAGCATCAGAGCTTCATTAGTTCATCAAGGAGAGGAATGACTTCTTTCTTGAACTGGATGATAGGTTTTGATTGCTAGAAGACTATTTCCACAATTTTTGTGATACAATAATAGGTTTAAACAGACTTTAATCTTTATTATTACCATTTTCTCTTATCACTTTTAACTCTCCGATCCATAAACCTAGTATGATGGCAATTGACAAATGAGGGTAGTTCCAATATGAATGTTGGTTGATGTTTTCCTTTATGTTAAAGAGTAAGATGAAAGTGAAACAGCATCAGAGCTTCATTAGTTCATCAAGGAGAGGAATGACTTCTTTCTTGAACTGGATGATAGGTTTTGATTGCTAGAAGACTATTTCCACAATTTTTGTGATACAATAATAGGTTTAAACAGACTTTAATCTTTATTATTACCATTTTCTCTTATCACTTTCTTAAGTCTAGAAAATCCAAAGAAAAATGAATCAAGTCCCAATACATAGTTTTTGTGTATTCCCATAGTATAAATATCCATGATTGCCAACATTAAGCTATCCACATAATAAAACTAAGTGGGAAGAGAAGTGCACACCATTATACATACAGAATGTCACCATGCAGATCGAATACCTCAAGGACATGGATGATAGTAAAATGCAGTAACATAATTAAGAAGTGCTGAGTTTTGAGGTGTTTACAAATTTTGTCTTTAACATAGTTTATATAATTTTATTTTTAATGACTGTTGCTAGTAATCAGATCATAAAATTCCTGAAAATTTAATAATGGCCCTTGTAATCCAGTGTGGTCTCACTCTAGCACACAACTAGTTCCATCCGTCCCTCGAAGCATTCAAGCCAAGCCTGGAAGACCACCCTCCAGAGATGCTGAGGAAGGCATATCTTTCTCTCTTGGATGATAGAAGATACAAATATTACCTCTGCTCTCCTTTCCTAATCTAATGTTCCTTGGTTTATGCTAGCAAATATGTCCTAATTAATATCTAACTCATAGTTGAGATAGGGTGCTGACCAAGATCTTGACTTTGGACCTGAAATCTGACCTCAGATAGTCACAGGAT